CCTTTAATCCCAGCGCTAAGGAGACAGAGGCAGATGGATCTCTGTGAATTTAAATAAAGTGCTTTTCTTTTGCAGAAGTCAGATGAGAGCCTTGGATCCTTTGGAGCGCTCCTCAGTGAGGAGCCGCCTGATATGGGTGCTGGGAACTGAACTCAGGTCGTCTGTAAGAGCAGTAATTGCTCTTAACCACTGAGCCATCTCCCCAGCCCCAGGAAAGTCCTTCCTGTCTCACTTGTGTCTTATACAGATAACCTAAAGGTGTGCTCTATATCAAACCCAAGACCGTGCCCATCCCCGGGAAGCACTCTCCAGCTGACCTCCATCCCCAGCCCTGTGTGTATGTGTATGTATTTGGATTATGGACATTTTGTAAATGTAGTTAATGTATTTTTTGGTGCTGGGAATGGTACCTAGGGCCCAGTGCATGCCAGGAAAGTGCACTACTGCTGAGCTGTGCTCCGGGCCCTTGGTTTTTGGGTTTTGTTTTGTTTTGTTTTTGGAGACATAGTCTCACTGTGTTGCTCAGGCTGGCCTTGAACTCACAGAGATCTGCCTGCCTCCTGAGTGCTGGGATTAAAGGGATGTGCCCCCACCACCCAGCACTAACATGGCTTCTTATCATCCTCTGTTTTCTCTTAGACAAAGGCCCCAGTGAGGAGCCATGGCCAGAAGAGAGGCCGGCAGAAGGTGAGACCCTGCCATAATTCCCTCTCTATGTCAGCTCCACCCCTGCACTCCATCATCTCTCCAACACCCTGCATTTGGGCTGGGAGTCCTGTGTGAGCCATTCCAAGTGGGAGAAAGTTCTAGACTGTGCTAGAACTGGCAGGCGTCTGTCAGAATAAAGGTTAAGCTTCGGTTTACACACACTCAGTTGCTTTCTGTGAGGGATTCTAAACTGAATTGTGCCCCTCATCTTCCTGAGCTAGATTATATGGCTTGAGTATATAAAACTGGCTTTCTGTATAAAAGATGTTAAAAGAGGAAAAACTGGTTTTTCTCTCTCTGCTGAGAACAAGGCAGGGTGAGTGGGGAGGCCAAGGTAAGAGTGCAATCTTATCAATAGTGTGTCTGCCCCTAGAGTAAAACAGCCCGGGAGATAAATGCCATTTTGTAGAACTCAGCTTGACGTAGAAGACCAGATACCTTCTAAAGTATTAGGAAATGTTTCTTGCCCGCCCCCTGGTGGCAGTGTATGCAAATTGCAGGCTTACTTTGCACTCACTCACTAGTTAGGTAGCTTACTGGGCTGATCTAAAAGTGATGCTGCCCGAGAGCAACCACAGAACCTTCTAGATCACCAATCTGGCACACATCACCACGAGGTATGCAAAATCCAGGAATTAAGGGCTTTGGTAGAGCTGCCATTTCCTTGTTCCTTTCCAAAGTCTCACCACGAGGTAATTCCTGATCCCTCCAAAGCTGGGGGTGTGAGTTAAGAAGCAGGATGTTTCTGCATCCAGGAAACTCAGCACACTGCCTTTGTCTTCCAGAAAGCCCTGGTGATGTGATCCGGCCCTTGCGGAAGCAGGTGGAGATGCTGTTCAACACGAAATATGGTGAGTAGGGAGAGGGACGGGCCTTCAGGGCAGAGACAAAGACAGAGCTGGGGCTCATCTTCAGGATGGAGGGATTGGTCCTTATCGCTCACCCATGGCAGAGTCCCACCCTGCTGGCCTGTTGGTCCACATACTCTTCCTCCATATCATTCCCTGGCTCACATGCTTTCAGTCAGCCTCAGCCATGGGCCTTATTGACAGCTACAGGCCTCCCTGGGAACTCACAGAAAGAACTAGCTTGCTCTGGAATCCAGAAAAGTGGGGGGTATGACTCAATGCTACAGGATTTTTTTAGAATCCACCAATGAGGGGCCAGGGGTATGGCTCAGTGGTAGAGCCCCTGCCTAGAGTCCCCCAGTGAGGGGGTAGGTGTGTGGCTCAGCTAGTTTAGCATGTATTATGCCCTGGGTTCCACCCACGGCCCTACAATAAAATAACAGAGTCCAGAAAAGAGGAAGCGATTCGCAAAGCCTGATTTCTCCTTAGCTCCTGGAGTTTGCCAGGTGCTGGCTCCTCACACACTCTCTCATCCCTGCCTCACAATCCTTGTTATATCCTGAGACCCATTTTGCAGATGGGAAAATAGGAAGCCTGCTGTGGTGATGAGGCTAGCCCAGGGCAGCAGTCTGCTCATGGGCAGAGAGCCTCAGATCAGGCTAACCCTAAATCTGGCGTGCCACGGGGCTGTGTGAAGGTTTGGGGTTTTTGAAGGTAGCAGGGGTCGGGGAGGGCATGAGGGACCCACAGTCATATCCCAGCAACACTCTGTGGTTTCTCTGCTACATGAGTGGAGAGTGGCCTTTGGGGGTCACATTCCCAGGCTGTATGCCTTCAGACAAGTCACGTCCTCTGGGGACTCGACTCTACCCTACCCACAGGCCAGGTGTGCTTTTCTCTCATCTTGCAAGTTCATGGGGTTCAGCCGAGTGCCACCTCCAAAGCCCTGCCATCCCTGCAGCTCCCGCGGAGAGGTGGGGACAGGTTGAGGCTCCGGGTGGCCTTACGGCAGCCATGTCTTCGCAGCCAAAGCCATTGGTACCTCGGAGCCAGTCAAGGTACCCTACTCCAAGTTCCTGATGCACCCTGAGGAGCTGTTCGTCCTGGGACTGCCCGAAGGCATCTCCCTTCGCAGACCCAACTGCTTTGGGATCGCCAAGCTTCGGAAGATCCTGGAAGCTAGCAACAACATCCAGTTTGTCATCAAGAGGTAAGGTCTGAGCCGGGTGTGGCGGCAGGTTCCAGGCTGGCCAAGGCTACATGCTGAGTTTCTCTCAAGAAAGAAAAGAGGGTAGGCGCAGAGAGATGAAATTAAGTTTAAAAAAAATTAGAGAAAAGTAAGGACTGGTTAGACGCATGAAGGACAGCATCTGAGTGGCCCAGCGCCAGACATGGCACCGAACAACTGGCGACTTCCCGTTGTTCAGATTGCAAAATCTTTTTTTGTTTTGGACAGCCCTGACTCTCCTGGAACTCTCTTTGTAGACCACGCTGTCCTCAAACACAGAGATCCACCTGCCCCTGCCTCCCGAGCTCTGGGATTAAAGGCGTCTGCCACCACCGCCCAGCTGTCCTGTACTTTCTTATTTACTTTGTTTTTTTTATTTTAGTGTATTTGGGTTTTGATTTTGTTGTTGTTGTTTGTGGGGTTTCTTTTGTTTCATTTTTTTAAGACGGGATCTTACTTTCTAGCTCAGGCTACTCTGGAATTCACTGTATAGCCCAGGCTGACCCAAGTGATCTTCCTGCCTCAGCCTCCCGAGTGCTCTGGGATTACAGATGCAAGCCTCCATGCCCTGCTGATCCTAAACTAAATTAGAACGGGGTGTGACGGTTCATGACTGTATAGCAGCACGTGGGAGGCCGAGGCAGGAAGCTGTACCTCGGTGGTTCTCAGCCTCCCCGACGCTGCAGCCCTTTAGTACAGGTCCTCAGGGTGTGCTGACCCCCAACCATAACATTATGTTCATTGCTACCTCACAACTGTAATGTTGCTACTATTAAGAACTGTAATGTAAATACCTGTGTTTTCCAATGGTCTTGGGTGACCCTTGTGAGAGGATCGTTACACACACACACACACACACACACACACACACACACACACACACACACACACACCCTCACCCTCAAGGAGTCTCGACCCACAGGTTGAGAACCACTGATGTAGAGTTTAGACTAGATCACAGTGTTTCATCTCAACAAAAACAAAACGCTTTAGAGGTGGCTCAGTCAGTAGAGTGCTTACTATGCAAGCTTGGGGACCTGAGTTCGAGCCCCAGGACCCAAGTAGTACCAAAAAAAAAAAAAAAAAAAGACATGGTGTTGCAAACCCGTAATCCCAGTGCGGAGTGTGCAGAGATAGGAGGATCCTGGGTGTGGGCTACAGGTTCAGGGAGAAACCCTGTCTCAAAACAGGTGAGAATGCTTGCTGGTTTTTGTTTGTTTGTTTGTTTGTTTGTTTGTTTTTGGTTATTCCAGACAGGGTTTCTCTGTGTAGTTTTGGTGTCTATTATGGATCTCACTCTGTAGACCAGGCTGTCCTGGAACTCACAGAGATCCGCCTGCCTCTGCCTCCCGAGTGCTGGGATTAAAGGCGTGCGACACCTACCGCCCAGCATGCTTGCTGTTCTTGCAGGGACCTGAGTTTGGTTCCTCTTATCCTGGTTGGGCAGCTCATAACCAGCTGGAACTCCATCCTCAGGGGTTTTACACACACACAGCCACACTGTCACACATGTACACATAATTACAAAATAAAGCCTTACCAAATAATAATAAAATAATAATAATAATAATAATAATAATAATAATAATAATAATAATAATAAAGAGCAGTTAAGGAAGATACCAGTTGTTGGCCGCTGGCCTCTACGTTGCACCTGTACACATGTGCGAATACAAACACGCACATCATTTCCCCAGCTGTGTGTTTCAATGCTAGGCAGTGCCCAGGACTTGGGAGGAACCTCAGAGCTCAGAGCTGTTGACAGCTCCCATCAACCAACCAGGATGGCTGCCCTAGTGTGGCAAGGACCTTAATTCTGTGTTGGCCAAGAACTCTAGGCAAGCCCATTGCACAGATCTGTAGACTGACGCTCAGAGGCTGAACAGCCCTAGGATGCTCGGGCAAACCTCACTGATGGCGCTGGTTGTGTTTTCTAGACCCGAACTGCTCACCGATGGTGTCAAAGAGCCCGTGATGGACACTCAAGGTACCTGGGCATGGGCGAGACCCAGGTGGGTGTTGGGGGAGGGGGGGCACCAAGTCTCTGCCATGCCCCGTCCTGATGCCCCTGTCCTGTCCCCTACCCTAGGCATTTCCCCACTGCCCCTGTTGGGTTTGCCCCCTCGATGCCACCTGAGACCCCAGGTGCTCCCCCCTCACCTGCCTTCTCTCCCCACCCCACCCCCAGAGAGGGACTCCTGGGACCGTCTCGTGGACGAGACCCCGAAGAGGCAGGGCCTTCAAGGTAAGTTCAGGCCCATATAAATTTAGGCATGCTGGGGTCGTGACCTTGAGTGGCTTTAGGGCAGGGGTGGCAGTGGGAGTTGGGAGGATCTGGACCCCACCCCTGGGCTCTTGGGTGCCCAAGTAGCCTGGTATGTCTGAGTTAGAGTCTGGCTGTCAGGAGGGGGACACCCAGGTAAGGACTTACGAGCTGGCAGAATTCTCTGTCTAGGTGGCAGCCATCTATCTACCTTTCTGTAGTCATTCATCAACTCAGCTCTTAGTACTTTGAAATGGAAGGACTGGATGGTGGCCATGGAGAGCCAGGAAGGCGGCCAGGAAGGCAAGCAGTGGGATTCAGGCAAATGTTAAAGGATGGCTTACAGCTGGACCAAGGGGAGACTTCTGGCACCCTTTCATGTGAGGCCAGCCAACATCCAACCTGTCGATAGGGATGTGTCTGAAACCCTACCACATCCTGTGTGTGTGTGCGCGCGCGCGCACGCGGCTTAGAAAATGAGTGGGCGTGGCTGGTGTGAGTCCCAGGGTAGCTGTCACCAGGGGGCCTCTTCATGGTCACCCTACTACTGAGGAGTTCAGAAAGGCAGCAGCGGCCAACGCTGGAGTTAGGAGACCTTACAGAGGACCGGCTGCTGGTCACCTCAGCGCCTCACTGGGACAGTGAGGGGAGTTTGTGTGTCTTACCTCACCCTATGTCCATCCCTATGTCTAAGCCCTTAGTGTTCTGAGAATGTCACCAGGAGTGCATAGGAAGCACCAGAGGTCATTTCCTCCTTCCCCTGCCGTCCATACCCTTTCTCTCCTAAGGCCAGGCCAGGATGTAACCTCCCTGAGGTCAAAAGTACAATCCTGCTATGCTGGTACATGGGGTTCCTTAGTCAACACTGTTTCAGAATGGTAGCCCTTACCGAGAGTACTCCCAACCCTGTGAAGAGCTGGCAGCATGGCTCAGTGGTTGAGCACCTGCCTAGAATCCCCCAGTGAGGGGCTGGGGTGTGGCTCAGTGGTAGAGCCCCTGCCTAGAATCCCCCAGTGAGGGGCTGGGGTGTGGCTCAGTGGTAGAGCACCTGCCTAGAATCCCCCAATGAGGGGCTGGGGTGTGGCTCAGTGGTAGAGCCCCTGCCTAGAATCCCCCAGTGAGGGGCTGGGGTGTGACTCAGTGGGAGAGCCCCTGCCTAGAATCCCCCAGTGAGGGGCCGGGGTGTGACTCAGTGGTAGAGTATTTCTGTACCATCTGTAAGACTCTGGGCTCCATCCCCTGTGCCACCAAATAATAAAGAGCCCCAGGTGGACACTCCCATTCTCGTCCCCTGTTTCCCTGTGAGCTCTGAAGCCTTTGCTCCAACTCCCACCCAGCTGAGGACACAGAAACCCCCTCTCCCTGGTGCCTGACTTCCAGGCTTATTTATTAGTGTGTTGGTTTTCAAATGTCAACAATTATTAACTTAATTTCATCTCGTGGCTGTTGTCTCAACAGTGTGAGTCCTTCCAGGAAACACACACACACACACACACACACACACACACACACACACACACACGGCTCATGAAGACTGGTTTTGAAGGACTCTGAGGGGCCCACTCCAAAGATCTGCTAATTGCCAGAAGAAGGAGTTCACTGTAATTAGGAAATCATTTTTCCTGTAAAAGTCACCGAGTGCCTTTTAATGTAACCACCTCTGTCCGTAATTGTACTCACTCTGCAGAAAATTACGACACCAGGCTCTCGCGGATCGACATCGCTAACACGCTTAGGGAACAAGTCCAAGATCTGTTTAACAAGAAATACGGTGAGTTACAGGCAGGGGTCAGGTGGGGGGGGAACCGGGCAGCTCCCTGCCTGTTGGGCAGAGAGGTTGATCTGTATTTTAGGTATTTCTTTTCTCTACTTTTTTTTCCTTTTAATTATTTATTTATTGTGTGTATGGGTGTGTGTGGGGGTGTGCACATACCCCCCAGCACGAACGTGGTAATCAGACTTGGAGGAATCGGTTGTTTTGTTCTACTGTGTGGGGGTCCTGGGAATCAAACTCAGTCTGCCACGCTTGGTGGCAGCCACCTGTGCGTGCGGTGTCCCCTCACCAGCTCTCATCCGTTTCCTTGAGCATCTGCCATATGCCCAGCACTGGGGACACGGTGTCACAGAAAACAGACACGGGGTAGGATGCGTGGGTGGCACACACCTGTCATCTCATCCCTTGGGAAGTTGGAGCAGGAGGATTGCTACGAGTTTCATGCCAGCGGGAACTGCAGACTGTGGATGTGGTTGAGAGACAGATAGAGAAGGTGTGTGAGCGCTCGCCGGTGAGCTGGCCTACGGGGTAAGAGTGGTGGCTGCCAATTAGGTATTTAATCATGAACGATGACTAATGATGACCAGAGTTTGATTCCTGGCACCCGCATAGTGTGCCAAACCACTACAATTGACCCTCTTCCCCTCCACCATGGGCTATGCACACAGGTGCTCACACACACACACACACACACACACACACACACAAATAAATAAATAAATAAAATGTGATAGAGACTGGGGTGTGGCTCAGTGGGCAGACTCCTTGCTGAGCGTGTGTGAAGGAGCCCTGGGTTCAGTCCATGGCACTGCATAAACTGGGTATGGTGGCAGACACTCCTATCATCCCAGCACTTGGGAGGTAGAGGCAGGAGGGTCAGAAGTTCCCATCTCAGTTACATAGAATGTTGCCTCAGTTACATGAGACCCTGTCTCCAAAAACAAAAAACCAAACCAACTTTAAAAAGAGATGGCTTTTTTTTTTTTTTTTTTTTTTTTTTTTCCTTTTACTTTCTGGTTTTTTGAGACAGGGTTTCTCTGTGTAACAGCTTTGGCTGCCCTGGAACTCGATCAATAGATCAGGCCTTTAATCCCAGCACTCAGGAGGCAGGGGCAGGTGGATCTCTGTAAATTCGAGGCCAGCCTGATCTACTGCGTGAGTTTTAGAACAGGCAAGGCTACACAAAGAAGCCCTGTCTTGAAAAACTAAAAAGAGGGGCTGGAGAGATGCCTCAGTGGTTAAGAGCACAGACTGTTCTTCCAAAGGTCCTGAGTTCAATTCCCAGCAACCACATGGCGGCTCACAACCATCTGTAATGATATCTGGTGCCCTCTTCTGGCCTGCAGGGACACATGCAGACAGAACACTGTATAAATAATAAGTAAATATTTTAAAAAATAAAAAAATAAAAAAAAAAAACAGACTTATAACAAGAAAGAGCCCGGAGGTGGTGGCACATACCTTTAATCCCAGCACTTGGGAGACAGAGGCTGGTGAATCTCTGTTTGAGGCTAGCCTGGTCTACATAGGGAGTCCCAGGGCAGCCAAGGCTACATAATAAGACTCTGTCTAGAAGAAATTGAGAGAAAGAAAGAAAGAAGGGAAGGAGCCTGAGAGTGGCTAGACAGTGGTCCCTCATGTCAGGAAAGCATCCTGTCTGGCTTTGTCTACCTTCTTTACTGCTGAGTGGAACATACCCATTCATCCCATGTGGGTCCTGACTGTGAATCTTACAACCACAGGCTGGGAAAAAGCAGATGTTTCAGAGTTTCCATCCTGGAGGCAGCCAGAGGATGTCTTAGGGTTTTTATCAGAGACACCAGGCTGGAGAGATGGCTCAGTGGTTAAGAGCACTGGCTGCGCCGGGTGATGGTGGTGCACGCCTTTAATCCCAGCACTCGGGAGGCAGAGGCAGGCGGATCTCAGTGAGTTCGAGGCCAGCCTGGTCTACAGAGAGAGATCCAGGAAAGCAGGAAAGGTGCAAAGCTACACAGAGAAACCCTGTCTCGAAAAGCAAAAAAAAAAAAAAAAAAAAAAGCACTGGCTGCTCTTCCAAAGGTCCTGAGTTCAATTCCCAGCAACCACATGGTGGCTCACAACCACCTGTAATGAGATCTGAGATCTGGTGCCCCCTTCTGGCCTGCAGGCGTACATGCAGGCAGCACAGTCTAGAGTCTGAGAAGTATTAAGTGTGCCGCCAGAGCCAGCACCTGGAACCACACGTACCTGCTCTGCACTCCACCTAGCATGGATTCACACCAGAAACTCCACACACAGCACACACGCTAGTCTCCCCAGCTTCTCCAGAAGTGGTTCTCAACCTGTGGGTCACAACCCTGTCAGAGGTCCAATATCAGATATCCTGCATATCAGATATTTACATTACAGTTCATACCAGTAGCAAGATTACAATTCTGAAGTAGTGTCTTAGTTAGGGTTTACTATTGCTGTGAAGAGACACCATGACCACAGCAACTCTTAGAAGGAAAACGTTTCATTGAGGGTGGCTCACTTACAGTTTCAGAGGTTCAGTCCATTATGATCATGGAGGGTGGTGGCGTGCAGGCAGACATGGTGGTGGAGCTGAGAGTGCTACATCTTGACTCAGAGGCAACAGGAAATCAACTGACTGTCACACTGAGGGAAGCTTGAGAAAAAGACCTCAAAGCCCGCCCCCACAGTGACACACTTCCTCCAAGAAGCCCACACCTAATAGTGACGCTCCCTGTGTGTGTGTGTGTGTGGGGGTGTTTTCTTTCAAACCACCACACAGTAGCAATGAAATAATGTTATGGTTGGGGGGGGTCACCACAACATGAGGAATTGTATTAAAGGGCCGCGGCGTTAGGAAGGTTGAGAATCGCTGGTCTCTACACTCTTCCACAAAAGGGCCCTGTGCCCACGGGGAGAGACGCTCCCATATTGCGCCACACACCCTGCTCCACCGCTTCCCCTTAACTGGCCCAACTGTCCTTCTCGCATCCAGGTGAAGCCTTGGGCATCAAATACCCAGTGCAGGTACCCTACAAACGAATCAAAAGCAATCCAGGCTCCGTCATCATCGAGGGCCTGCCTCCCGGGATCCCATTCCGCAAACCCTGCACCTTTGGCTCCCAGAACCTGGAAAGGATCCTCTCTGTGGCTGACAAGATCAAGTTCACAGTCACCAGGTACTTGATGAGGAAGGGGAGGGGTTGAGGCTGGACTGGCTGGGATCGGGAGCCCACTCCAGAAATTCCTGCTTTAGGGATGTGTCTTAGGGCTGGTTTTTGTTTTTGTTTTTTATTTTCCGGAGCTGAAGACCGAACCCAGGGCTCTACCACTGAGCTAAATCCCCAACCCCAGGTTTTTTATAAGAGACACCAGGCTGTAGAGGTGGCTCAGTGGTTAAGAGCACTGGCTGCCCTTCCAAAGGTCCTGAGTTCAATTCCCAGCAACCACAAGGTGTCTCAAAACCATCTATAATGAGATCTGGTGCCCTCTTCTGGCCTGCAGGCATACATGCAGGCAGAACACTGTATACATAATAAATAAATAAATAAATAAATAAATAAATCTTTCTTTAAAAAAAAAAAAAGACACCATGACCACGGCAACTCTTACAAAGAAATATTTAATGGTGGTGGGGACTCACAGTTTTAGAGGTTCAGTCCATGATCATCATGGTGGTGTGCGTAGACAGATGTGGTACTGGAGAGGTACCTGAGAGTCCTACATCTTGCAGGCAACAGAAAGTCAACTGAGACATTGAACAAAGTTTAAGCCAAAGACCTCAAAGCTCACCCCAACAGCGACACACTTCCTCCAACAAGGCCACACCTCCTAATAGTGCCACTCCCTCTGGGGGCCATTGTCTTTCAAACCACCGCAGGGTGTTACAGAGGAACTGCAGACCAGACGGGGTTCAGGAGTTTCCACACAGTGACTGGTCACCCTTCTAACTGCATGCCCTGCAGCAGCCCCTTAGGCATACCCAGCCCCCTGAGAAAGCACAAATTCTGTGTACACACATGGCCTGGGCATCTTACTGTAATGTGGAGTCTGGGGCTTGGGAGCGGGTGTGGTGGGGAAGTGTTTCCTGAGCAAGCCTGAGGACCTGAGTTTGGATCCTCAGCATCCGTATAAAAATGTGGGCATGCTCCCATGTACCTGTAACCCCAGCACTGGTTTTACGAAAAGAGATGAGAAGATTCCAGGGGCTTGCTTAGCTAGGTGGGAAACCTTCCCTTAAATTAAAAAGGAAAAGAAAAGAAAAAAGATACAGAGCCGGGCGGTGGTGGTGCACGCCTTTAATCCCAGCACTCGGGAGGCAGAGGCAGGAGGATCTCTGTGAGTTCGAGGCCAGCCTGGGCTACCAAGTGAGTTCCAGAAAAGGCACAAAGCTACACAGAGAAACTCTGTCTCAAAAAACCAAAAAAAGAAAAAGATACAGGATGATTGAGGAAGATACTTGAAGTCACCCTCTGGCATGCATGCAAAGGTGCCCACCACGCCCACCTCACATACACGAATGGTACAGATCCCAAAACATGCTTCTCATCCCAGCACTCAGGAAGCAGAGCCAAGAGGGTTATGAGTTAAAGTTAGCCCAGGTTAATCCCTTCTCAAAAAGGACAGGAAGGAAGGAGAAGAGCAGGGGAATGGGGCTTGGTTGGTTTCAGGTGTATACAGTGTGCATGAAGCCCTGACCTCATCCCCAGCACCACATAAACCAGGCTGAGTGGTGCACCCCTGTAATCTCCGCACTCAGGAGGTAAAGACAGGAGAATCAGAAGTTCCCGGTCCTCCTTGGCCATAACAGAGAGAGTTCAAGACTAGCCCAGGATACAAGAGCTCCTCTCTGAAAGAATCAAACATTAATCTGTGAAATGGGCCCTAGGCATTTGTTACCAGTTCCTCGGCAAGCTTGTGTCGCCGTGGTGTATCTGGTGGTAGTCTTGTCCCTGGAGCCTTTTCCCTGAATCTCCACTTCTGTTTCCCCTGCAGGCCGTTCCAGGGACTCATCCCAAAGCCTGGTAAGTGGTATTCTGTGTGTTTGGGAGGCACCCGGTGTTGGCGGGGTGGGGCGGGGGTCCTTGCGCAGTTCTGGGAGCGCAAAGCCAAGTCCACCATGGACACCACTGCCTGGCTCAGGAGTGGGACCTGGGATACTGACCTGCGGTTCCCACACCTCCCTGTTCGTCCGCCCCAGGTTGGTGGGGAAAGGCTGCAGGTGCCCTGGTCCTGGAGCAGAGAGATAGCAATGAAGCCACAAGGCTCACCCGGTCAGAGACTGCAGCAGAGTCAGGGTCCCCCTGACCTCTAAGGGACCTGGCTAACTCAGGGCATGGAGGAAAGCCATGGCAAGTGTATGAGTGTTGTCATAGGGGGCAGGGGGCTTGGTGCGAGGGGTGAGGGTGCTGGGAAGATAAAACAGTCTATAAAGGACCAGCTGTTGGAGCCAGGCGGTGGTGGTGCACGCCTTTAAGCCAGGTAGATCTCTGTGAGTTTGAGGCCAGCCTGGTCTACAGAGCGAGATCCAGGACAGGAACCAAAACGACATAGAGAAACCCCATCTCCAAAAAAAAAAAAAAAGGGACTGGCTGGCTGTTGGATCTGAATTTGATCCCGGGGACCCACAGAAACCACGTGTAATGGCACACACTTATAATCCTCGTGTCAGAGAGATGGAGAATTGAGCAATCTCCCAGGCCAGTGAGAGATGGGCTCAAAAGAACAAAAGAAAAAAGCTGAGTGTAGTGGTGTAACCTTTAACCCCAGCAGCAGGAGGCGGAGTCAGGTGGGTCTCTGGTGGGTTTGCCTGGTCTACAGAGTGAATCCCAGGACAGCCAGAACTACACAGAGAGACCCTGTCTCAGAGAGAGAGAGAGAGCGAGAGAGCCTATGGATTCCCCAGTGAGGGGCTGGGGTGTGGCTCAGTGGTAGAGCACCTGCCTAGAATCCCCCCAGTGAGGGGCTGGGGTGTGGCTCAGTGGTAGAGCACCTGCCTAGAATCCCCCAGTGAGGGGCTGGGGGTGTGTGGCTCAGTGGTAGAGCCCCTGCCTAGAATCCCCCAGTGAGGGGCTGGAGTGTGGCTCAGTGGTAGAGCCCCTGCCTAGAATCCCCCAGTGAGGGGCTGGGCCAAGGCTCAGTCAAGTTGGCTAAGATTACACATACTTCACCATATCTAGTTTACGTGGTGCTGGGGCTGGACCCAGAGCCTCGTGCATGCTGGTCTGGAACCTATGCTGTGTCCCTACCCCTAAGACCCTATCTTAAAAAGAATTTTAAAACACAGAAAAAAGCCTCTGGCTCTGTACCCTCTACAGCAGCCCCTGGGTGGACTCTAGGATTCTGTGCCCACAATGGAGAGAGCCCTGGGGGGAAGTGAGTGCTTTCTTAGGAAGGGAGCTGGGGACTTAAGACAGGGTTACCTTCCCACGGGTGAGAGGTCCAGAAAGTCCCTTACTTAGAGCTGACCCTGGTCCCATCGCAGGCTCCCACCCCACCCCCACCGCCCACCTTCAGCTCCTGAGTTCATCTGTGAATGCAGGTCTCTTGGCTCCAGGCTGATAGCCTAAAGTCAGACCCTAGCCAGTGGCCAGCCCTGGCACAAATGACTGCCTGAGCTGATGTCCCTTCCCGAGTGGTGCTCCTCCTGTCCCTCAGCGGGTCAGGAAGTGTGGCTGAACCGCTCCAGCCCCATAGAAACCCAGTGAGCCTATCCGGCATCCAACCCTCTGTAGCCCCCGGGTCTCTCCCTGCCCCTCCCCCCGTACCCCACTCGTTTTTTGGGGACAGAGTCTTGATATGTATCCTACACTGGCCTCAAACTCACGATCCTCCTGCCTCAGCCTCCGGAATGTTGAGGTTATAGTTGTGTGCCGCCACTCTGGGGTTGTTAACTTCTCACAGGAGGAAACAGACTCAGAGAGGTTAAGAAAATTCCTCACAGTCACAGAGCATTTGCGTGGCCTGGCTGAGATCTGAAAGGAGGTCTTACCCCGCTTTGGGCAGGATCCGGGTTGAACTTACCCCCTACCCCCATCCCCTGTGCTAAATTAAACCTGATCCTGCTGAGTGCCTCTTTGTCGCCCCCTCATGGCCACTGTGTGCAATCACATGGGTCCGGTCAACAATCTTTTTAAACTCCCAGTTTGAAACTGGTTCACTTGTTGGGGTTTGTTTTTCGGTTTGGTGTTAGGATTTTGAGTGTGTGAGTGTATGTGGAGTGTGTGTGAGTGAGTGAGTGAGTGTGTGTGTGTGCGCGTGCGCATGTACGTACATATTCAGGTCTTCAGGCTTAGAGGCAAGCGTCTACCTGCTGAGTTGTTTGGCTGGCTCCAGGTCCTGCGTGTCTGACTGTTTTCCCTGTATGTGTGTGCCTCGTGTCTGTGGAGGTCAGGGAACTGGAGTTATAGATGGTTGTGGACCACTGTGTGGGTGCTGGGAACCGAACCCTGGTCTTCTGCAAGATCAACCATCACTGTTAACCGCTGGGCCGTCTCTCTACACCCCACCCCCAGCCCATAACAGTTTGTGTTTTAAGGCGGTGTCTCATTATAGACCAGGCCAGAAGGAACTTGACGTTTAGCTGAGAATCTTCTTAAACTTAGGATCCCCCTGCCCACACGTCACAGTGCTGGAATTACAGACATGTACCACTCTGTCAGACTGGTCCACTCTTGTCTGAGGGTTTCGGTTGCTGTGATAAAAACACCACGATCAAAAACACCTTGGGGAAGAAAGGGTTTATTTCAGCTTAGAACTCACAGTGCCACTGAGGGAAGTCAGAGCAGAAACCTGGAGGCAGGAGCTGATGCAGAGGCCATGGCAGGGAGCTGCTTACTGGCATATTCCTCGTGCCTTGCTCAGCTTGCTTTCTTATACACCCCACAACTACGTGCCCAGGGGTGGTCCCACCCACGAGGGGTCTGTGCCCTCCCGCATCAATCACTGATTAAGAAGATGTCCTACAGGCAATCTGGGAGAGGCATTTTCTCATCTGAGTTTAGCTTGCGTCAAGAAAGGTGCTGGGAGCAGGTGCACTCCCTTCTGTCGGGAAGGGTCCCCCGGCTGGGGAGCAGAGGTCCCTGTGGGGAAGGACTGTTGGAGGCATCATCCCAGAGGACTGGCCGGAACACTGAGAGTTTCTAAGAGAGAGAATAATAAGTGTATTGTGGGGGCAGGGAGGAAGAGGGATCTATACACACATGTGAACAGTGAGCACAGTGGAGGTCCTCCAAAAATGGGTACAGATTGGTTTCCACAAATCCAGACAGTGGCTACCTACAGGTGGAGTCTTTCTTCCCAGTGACCAATCACTCACATCTGGAGGGTAGGGTGTAGCTGCCAGCCTGGGGAGGTGACATTCTCCAGGTCGGGGTGAGGAGGAAGCTGTGAACCCAGCCTTCCCACTCTTAGGTTTGTTATTGTTTGAAACAAAGTGTCCCAGGTAACCCAGGCTGGCCTTGAACTTGCTGGGCATCAAGGATGACCTTGAACTCTGACCCTCCAGCCTCCACGCGACTTCCAAAGTGCTGGAATTACAGGTCTGTCCTCTCTATACAATGCCGTTTTGTGCAGTTCTGGGCATGCAACCCAGGGCTTCATGCATGCTAGGCAAGCACTCTACCAATAGAGTTACATCCCTAGCCAGCTGTCTGTCTGTCTATATGTCTGCCCATCCATCCAGCTGTCTGTCTTTGACAGTGTCTCATTATGTAGTCCAGGCTGGCCTTGAATTTACAGTCCTCCTCCTCCTCTTCCTCCCAAGTAGCTGGGGTTATACAGGTCCATGCGGCCGGGTCTGGTGTGGTGTGGTTTGGGTTTTATTTTCAGGCATCAGGCATCAGAGTTTTGTTTTCCAAATGATGTCAGATTTGCCTTTTCTGGTAGCCATGCTTCCGGCTGGGGTGGGTAGAATGCAGAGAAGGTAAAGCTGGTCCCAGGTGGTGGGCCCAGAGAGAGAGAGGAATTAAGATCTAGAAGGGGATGGAGTGGCCGTGAAGAAGGTGGTGAAAGAGATGGAAGATGGAGGTGACTTTGTCTCAAAGCCTGGATCTGTGGATCTATGGGGGGGGGGGGCTTTGGAGGTAATGAACTCCCCGTCACTGGAGGCATTCAAGCCGAGGTTAGGTAGTCAGCCACTTACCAAAGAAGAATATTCCCTGTAGGGTTTGCTGCAAAGGAGGATGAGAAGAGCTGTTCCGACATCATAGTACCTGACAGGACCGGTCCCACTTCCCTTTTCTGTCCCGTTATGAGCTTCCAAACAGCCAGTCACTTCCTCCTCTACGATGTCATGATGGACATCTGTCTGTTATCCTTCCAAACAGCCAGTCACAGGGTGTCACGATGGACATCTGTCTGTTATCCTAGCTTCTGGAAGGAGTTCAAGGCCAGCTTCAGTTACATAGGAAGCTTGGGACTAGCCTGGGCTATAAGAGACCTTGTCTTAAAACTGAACAATAAGGACTTGAGCGATGACTCAGAGGTTACGTGTGTTGGCTGCTTTTCCAGAAGGCCTGAGGTCACTGCTTAGCAACCATATCGGGTGGCTCACAGGTGCCTGTAACTCCAGCACCAAAAGATCCCGTGCTCGCTTCTGGCCACCGCAGACACCCACAGACACTTGGCGCACACACATGTATCGTCATCATTGTTTCCTCTGACCCCAGGTGCAGCTTCAGCACACTCTCAAGGAAAAAAATGGGCGCATTGGGGTCCCCACAGGCAGAGCACAGCTGCCAGCTTCTTGTGTGACTCCAGCAAGCCAGGTTCAGCTCTTTTGAGCATCAGTGTCCTTATCTATAAAACAGGAAGAACTAGCGGAGCGGTGGCAGTTCATGCCTTTAAATCCCAGCACTCGGGAGGCAGAGGCAGAGGCAGGTGGATCTCTCTGAGTTCAAGGCCAGCCCGGTCTACAGATCTAGCTCCAGGACAGCAGGAATAAACAGAGAAACCCTGTCTTGGAAAACAAAAACAACCCAGGAAGGATTGCCTTCTCTCCAACCTGGAGCCCACAGCCAAGGCCAGGTGGGTCTCAGAGGGTCAGAAAGGCTGGATCTCCAGCCAGGATTAGACCTTGCGGACAGCATGCCTGGGGAGCCTTTGTGTGCTGGGTCCCTGCTGCCCAGAAACCTGAGCACCCCAGGGAGCTAGAGCCAAATTCTCAGCAGCCCCAGTTTAATCTAGGACACCTCACCATCGACTTCCCAGTTCAGGTTCAATTTCAAGAAATCGTTATGGCAGATTAAGCCCCACCCCACCCCAGTGAGAATTTATTCCAATCACTTGGAGAATAAGAGGGGGAAAAAAATTAAAACTCTTTAATAATAGCGTGCTCCCAAAGAGAAACCCAGAACAGAAATCTCTTGTGGCTTTATGTAGGTTTAAGCTATCACTTCGTATTCTTACGCTCACGTTCATCTCTAAATTGCTTTCCAGTCCGTCCCTGTCCCCGTCCTGTCCCTGTCCCTGTCCTGTCCCGTGTCCCCTTGTTCCCCTCCACCCCTGGCCCAGTTACACCTGGAGCAATTAAATGTGTTTTATGTTTTGGTCTGGCAGTACTCCTTTAGCTGAATTTTACTTTTATATAACTTAATTTTTGCTTGCTTTTTAAAATTATTTATTTATTTATAATTTATTTATTTATTATTTATTTATTTATTTTTAGGTGTGCTGGTGTTTTGCCTGCCTGTATGTTTGTATAAGGGTGTCAGATCTTGGAGTCACAGATAGTTGTGAGCTGCCACGTGGGTGCTGGGAATTGAACCCGGGTCCTCTGGAAGAGCAGCCAGTGCTCTTAACCACTGAGCCACCTCTCCAGCACTTTTTGTTGTTGTTGTTATTGGAGACAGGGTTTCTCTGTGTAGTTCTGCTGTCAGGAACTCACTCTGTAGCCCAGGCTGGCCTCGAACTCACAGAGATCCACCTGCCTCTGCCTCCCGAGTTCCACCACCAGGCCGGCCAACTTAATATTTTCTACGCAAGTTGATTGGCAAATCTTTTCTAACGTCAGTGTATCAGTGAGGAAAGTATTTTCTCTCACATCGTCTGAGGCCCAGGTTGAGATGCTCAGCTGTGGAGAAGGGCCTGCCACACATAGGTGGCAGAAGCCCTTCTTAATGCCATCTACTGTCACCTTCAAACTGTGGAGAGCTTCGGGGAGAAGGGGACCTGAGACAGGCCTGGGAGCCAGTCTGGGGTTGATCTTGACAAGCAAGGAGCAAGGCAAGGGAATGGTCTTTTTTTTTTTTTTTTTTTTTTTTAGACAGGGTTTCTCTGTGTAGCTTTGCGCCTTTCCTGGAACTTACTTGGTAGCCCAGGCTGGCCTTGAACTCACAGAGATCCACCTACCTCTGCCTCCCGAGTACTGGGATTAAAGGCGTGCGCCACCACCGCCCAGCGGGAATGGTCTTATTTGCCCATTTAGGAACCAAGTTTACCATTTCTGAACTATGATCTTCGATGTTAAGTAAGTTAACTTACATCTATGATCTTACATGAGTTAATTGACTCGGTAGTCTCGGACAAGTTAGCTCACTATGTATGATCATAGATAAGTTAACTCATTCTCTGTGATGTTGGACAAGTTAACAACTGACTTACTCTCTGTGGTCTGGGATAAGGCACCTGACAATCTACAGTTTTGAGGTAGGTTGACTTACTGTCTGGAGGCCATTCGTTCAGGGCCCCTCTGCCCTTCTGTACTTGATTCCCTGAGGCTGGAGGGATATTTTCCTGGCTCCAGCCCTCCTGCCTTCCCCCCTTCCCGCCCTTCCAGCTCCGTCTTGGTCTGGAGAGCTGAAATAATACTGTCCTGTCTCGGTATCCCAAGACGCCACAATTCCAGCCCCAGCCACGCTTCCTCCGTTAATGCTCTCTGTTAATATGGCTGCAGTAATGACTGCCTGCCTTCCTGTCTTCCTGGGAGGTGCTGACCGCTGCCAGGGTGGGGCAGAGAGGACTCTGTGGCCAGATGTCCCACTCCTGGGCCCAGATCTGGCGCTGTGCTTCCTCCTTTATTCCAAAAGGGGCCACGGAGCCACAGGGTGTCTGGGAGGCCCTGACCATTTCCTGGTCTATGGAAACTCAGCCAGGGCCACTGTGACCCACCCTGCACCTGAATGGGTTAAAGATCTCAAGTCCTGCACCCCACATGTGGCTGGAAAGGAACTTCCTATGTTCCCGGGTTCATAATTAAGAGGCTCTGCCACCTCATGAAGTTGAGGGAGCCCTGGAACTTTCTATAAGATTCCAGAAACCCTTATGTAAATGTACGAAGCAGAGGGGCTCAGGGGATGAGTCATTCAGCAAATCGGCACACCCACAGAAAAAAGGACAGCTAGGGTGGCATCCACTAAAAATAGTCCCAGCTCTGGGGAGCAGAGACAAGTAGATCCCTGGTGCTCACTAGCCAGCCAGCCAGCCTAACCTACTTGGCCAGTTCCAAAGGAGAGCCTCTCCAAAGATAAGCGTCCCGAGGAAGGGCTCCCCGGGCATAAAGGCGTGAATACAAACACACAAAAATCAACTTCTGAAGACCACTTGAAAGGATGATAAATGGCGCTGGTGGCGGCACTGGTTACCGCTGAAAGGTCGCGGTCACAAAAGAACCCAGTGTTAGTTTTCAGAACTTTATTAGGAGGGAAATGGGGAGTGGGAGGAGAGCCAGGTCTGGGGAGAGAGAAAGATGGTGGGAGGGGA